ATAAATAAATTCATAAATTTATTTTAAGAAATAAAACCAAATAGGTATTATTAGCATAAACAAGCCTAAGATAATCAATCAGAAAGCAGTATACCTCATTAAAAAAAATTTTCAATCAACAAAACAACAATAGCCTTAAACAAACTCACAGCCAATCAAAAGTGTAGGAAAATGAGCAACCCGCGAAATCCAAAATCATAACAATAATTGAATAATATATGATAGCGAAAAAGAACGTTGCACAAAAACCTTAAAAATGTAAGCGGCATATATGTAAACATTTAATGAAGGATATAAAAATATTCTCTGAATAATAATAAAGATGAAAAATGTGCATGTGAAAACAAAGCTGAGTAGTGAATGCAACAAACAGTAATAATATGAAAATCAGGAGATAAATAATATACTAATAAATATTGCAATAAGACTAACTAAATATTGTAATAAAACCAGATAATTTTAAGCAAATGAGTGGTTAAACATTAGCTGTGGGTAATATAACAACGATGTAAGTCCTGATGTAAAAACTATGTACAAAGCGGGAAAAAATTTGTTAAAAAGTGAAGTTTTCTCTATGGTCCGAACTAAAAGAAACTTTGAGACCATATCTAAATCAAAATTTCCGAAAAGTAATGCTTCTTCTACGGCCCGAATTAAAAATAACTTTGAGAACATATCAACATTTCAACCACATATTATCTATTAAAAGAAAATATTATTTAAATAAGGATGAGTTCAAACAAAGATAGTTTATCTATGAAAGAACAAAAAGCATGCAAACGATGTAAACAGGCTGTATGTGCATAAGGGTGTATAGGTATAATGTGTAAGTCTGTGCTGTTTATGTCGTTCAGTAGAGTCTTGTATTGTTAGTAACCAGCGTAAAAGATTTGTCTCTGAACTAAACCAAGCCAGCCCAGCCATACTCCAGAAAACCATGATGGATTAAACACCTATGCATGGATTTAGAACTGACTTATGACTAAAATGCTAGCCCAGGCATCTTCCACAGACAAAAATCCTCTTTCGCGGTGACAGTAATTGCAATTAGGAAAATAGTTGTGCTCGATGACCGTAATATTAACCCTTACGGGTTAGGCCCAATATCATTTAAAAACTTTGGCATATAAAAGTTTTATTCATAAAAAATATATAAATCTGTTTTAACTTAATTTATTTTACTTTAATTCATTGAGCACTCTCATGATATATGCAAACCAAAATACGTATACATACACATACACACACAGATATATATATATATATATATATATATATATATATATATATATATATATATATATATATATATATATATATATATATATATATATATATATATATATCTGAGAAAGAGGAAGGAAAAAAAAGAAAAAATGTTATGAAAATTAAAAAACTAAACTCCATAAATCTTTTTTTTTAACTACTTAAAAATACTTTTAAGCAAAAAACTTATCTGAAAAAATCATTATTTCATACTATAAGATGCTTTATTTTAGGGTTAGAACTATTGTTATTGTTATTGTAAAAATTAAATACAATAACAAGTGCAATACAATAATATTGTATTGTAATACCAGAGATGCAATTAAAACATTATTTATGGTTATTGTATTGCTGTGAATAAAAGCAGTTAAAATAACTTTTTTTTTTTTTTTTCTAACAATACATTAAAGCTCTAAAATTATTGTATTGTTTTGCTGTGATGTAATACAATGATATTAACTATTGTATTGTATTGCTGTGATGTAAAACAATTACAATAACTATTGTATTGTTTTGCTGTGATGTAATACAATGACATAAACTATTGTATTGTATTGTTGTGATGTAAAACAATTACAATAAGTACTGTGGTGTATTGTATTACTATTTCAAAGTCTAACAGCTATTGTATTTTATAGTATTTAGACTCTTTTTTCACGCATTTATTATTATTTGGGCACTAGATAATTTTGGGGTGCCCGTGACGCTTGTTTTCAGCAGTCATTTATATATATAAATTTTATTTATTTTGAGAAGTGAAGTGAAGCCAGGGAAGCCAAAGAAGTATATATACTATGTATACTTAATAAATATTAGGTTTCTAGAAACTATTTACATATATAAATTTTATTTATTTTGAGTTCAATAATATAACTGTTTCAATAATAATTTATTTAGAATTAACATTAATAATATTCATTCAAAATCATACAAATATATAATTTATCATATGCTTGTAATTAAATAATTATTTACTTTAAGAAGTAAAATTTTATATTTTTTTATAATTTTGTCTAAACTGATATTGACATGTTTCACTGGATGATGACGTCTAAACTAATTGATTAACTACATTAAGCGCTTTTTTTTTCAATATATCTAACCGCTAATGTGTAATCAATTACATCGTTATGGAATCAAAGAACCATTAACCTGAGTAATTATCGATTAGATTGTCTGAAAATGTGAACTACTTTTGTTTTGTTAAAAAATTTTCTACATTTACAGATTGTTCATCACCTATCAGACCGTACCAATAAATTTTGTGTGGATCATTTTTGAAAAATGAGGCAGTTTAGAACACTAAATAAATATTGGTTCTTGATTTATGTAACAAAACTCTTTTATAACTTTGCAACTAGATGTCCAGTTATTTTATGAAACACTTACAGCCATAAAGCCAAAGGGAAACAAAAGACAAAGTTATATTAGAGTAAGTGTGAGTTGAGTAAGTTTCTAAACAATTGGGTAGGTGTTTAATGTAAAAGCAAATAACTAAGTGAAAGAAATGATAGTAATTGATCATGTCTATCCCCAGCAGTAAAAGAAATACAGGCCCGATTAAACTCACTTTTATAGAGCTATATAAAGTTAATAAAATAAAAAAGAAACAGAATCAATACTTATATATTATTTGAACCCTATTTCAAGGTCACTTATCTCAGAGACTGGGCTGTTAAAACATTTATTAAATTTTGACTCTATTTATTACAATAAAAATATATTGTTATTGTATTATAAAGACGAATTACAATACAACTTTTATTGTTATTGTAGTGGGTCATTACAATACATTTTTTTTTCATATATTGATATTGTTTTATAAAGATGAGTTGCAATACAATATTTATTGTTATTGCATTACATTATTACAATAGTTGTAAATCACAAGTATTGTTATTGTTTCTAAATTAAGTTAATACAATAACAATAGTTATTGTTACTGTTTTTTTTTTTATTACAATTACAATAGTCCTAAACCTACTTTATTTCATACTATAGCATTCGATTAATAACCACCTTTGACAGTTAACACTTTTTACATACACCATTTTCCCACTTTTTACAAACACCAATTCCCAATTGGTTTAAACATCCCAAAAGTTCGAAAATCACAGTAAAAAAACAAACAATCAGGCTAAGATTTAAAGAGTTACACTTGTCACATAGAACTAGTATGTTAGTATGCATGACAAAGAAATGAATTAAGTTGATCAACAACAATGATATTTTTAATGTAAAAAAAAAGCGTGGTCATTAAAAAGTCATTTATTCAAAAGTTAAAAAAAACTTTATTTTTTAGTTGACGTCAGCAATATTCTAGTTTAGATTTTTCAATACGTTTATTTTAGTTAATTATTTTTTATTCTTTTTATTAAAAAAAAATTTATTTGCATTTTTACTGGTGTTTATCTTAATTTAGAGTGTGTTAATTTACTGGTGTTTATCTTAATTTAACAAAAACCTTAAATAATAATAAATAATATACTTTAAAATACACTTTATTTGCATTTTTACTGGTGTTTATCTTAATTTAGGAAAGTTACAAAAATTTTAAATAATAATAAATAATATACTTTAAAATAAGTTATAACCACTTTTTATTAAAAGGATTAAAAATACTGTCAGTAAATTTGCTGGTACCCCAGAAAAAAACAAAAATCAAAAAATCAAATATGAAACTTGCAATGAAATGTATCATTTATGTAATATTTGCATAAAACATAAAAGAGGATAATTATATTTAGATTTTTATAATTTTTTTAGTTTTCTTTACAAATGAAAAAGTTTCATTTACAAATATCAAAATTAATACTTGCTCTTTCTTGACTTTTTCTCAAACTAATATTATTTTTATATCACTATTCTATTTCAAACTCTCACTATTATAAATATTGCTATTTTTATTATTGTTATTATTATTATAGTTATTATTATTATAGTTATTATTGTTATTATTACTAACACTATTGTTATTATTATTATTAATAATATAATTGTTATTTTTATTGTTTGTATTATTATTATTATTTTGATTATTATTACCATTAAACACAGTTTTTATTATTATTGCCTATTATTATTACTAATACTATTACTATATTATTTATGTTGTTACTGTTTATTATTATAATCTACTTCTCTTTTATTGCTATATTTTTATTAGGTATATAAAAGTCTTATATTCTAGATAGATGTATAAAAGTATATTGAATTTACTTTTAAAATTTTCAAATTTTTAAGTTTTAATTTAATTTTTTAAAATCCTAAATATAGCAAACTTCTAATTTAATTATTATTACATAAAGTTTTTTGTTTAAGTATTGTACTGTTTACATTTTATTTTTTTATTTTTTTTTAGTGTTTCATTATGGTGTTTATTAAAAATTAGTACCTGTACTATATGTAAATATTCCAGGAAATGTAAAATCTATTTCAGAATACATTTGATTTGTTGTTTATTTCTCTGTTAACTATTATTTTGATCACCACTATATTCCTTCAGTATTGTTTAGTAACTTAAATAATGGTTGCACTCTTTAATTTTTTCTTATTTTAATAAAATTTCAGGTTATCTTAATAGCAAGAGTGACTTTAGCAACATTATTAAGATGTCTTGGTCAGTTGTAACTATGTAAATAACTTGGCAAATTGTAACTATGCAAATAAAATTCATTAATTTTAAACTTAATAAGCAATATTTCAACAAACAAATATCAAAATATTTGTCATACAAATTTTTTTCCTTTTTTTTCTTTTTCTCTAACTTTTTGTCTCGTTTCTCCAGCTTTTTCTTTTTTTTATCTTCTTTAACTAAAAAAAAATTAAGTTTAAGACGTTTATAAACAAATTAGTTTTGTAGTAGTTAAATCTTTTTCTTTTAAAATAAAATCATTTTGTTAATTTCAAGAATTTTGGGTGGTAAACGAGAATGATGTTAAGAACTTCTTTATGTAAAAAATTCAAAAATACATACTTGCAGTAGCTATTGCATCAATATCAACAGGATTGGTTGCCATAGTAACTTCAATAAAATCAATAGCTACTGTAAAAATAAAAAATAAAAATTAGGTTGTTATGTTAAACACCCACAATTTTTTGTTACATATCTAAAACAGTTTTTTAGAAAGATTTACATGGTATATCTTTGCCAGTATGTTTGGTCGAAACAAAATTTTCAAGAAGATGCTCCACAGTAAGTGTAATCATACTTCTACTGAAATCATCTATGATCTATAAATATAAATCCTGAATCATCTATGATCTACAAATATAAATCATTTATGATCGACAAATACAAATCATCTATGATCTACAAATATAAATTCTGATTAAACAACATAAAAACTGATTACATAAAAAAAAAAAAAAACAAGACAAGACGTCTAAAGAGAAAAAAAAAAACAAATATGTAACTAAGGAACATAAAATTTATTTTAAATGCTCTCAGAAATACATTGGGATCAAAAAATATATTTTAATATATGCAAATTTTTTTTAGAATAACCAACAAATTTATGCTTTATAATAGATTTAAAAAAAAAATATGTATAGTAATATAAAATATGTGGATTGAGATTTTAGGTTTGAATAATGGAGATTTGGGGTTTGAATAATTAAGATTTGAGGTTTGAATAACTGATATTTAGGGTTCCCAATTTTATTTTTATTTTAAAGGAATATTGTTCAAAATTTTTATAAGTCTTTTCAAACTGCTATACTATAAAAATAAATAAAAGTAAAAAAATAAAATAAAAAAATAGCATCAATCAAACAAAGCAGACAGAGATCCTGTTTACAAAGCAGACAGAGATCCTGTTTAAATAATTTCACTTATACTGTTATTGTATATTAGGTTTTATATAGTTTTTTATAAATGTTAATCTTTTTAATTTAAATTGTAAATAGAGATTTTTATGGGTGATAATAACCCACAGAAAATGAATCCATAGAAAGATTTTTTTTTTTTTTTGTTAAATTTAATGTTATCATTAAACTATGTTTTTACAACTATGTTTATAAATATTGCAAAAACCCCATGAGAACAATTTTGAACACATTATATATAACATTCAAAACCAAAAATAAAGAAAATAAAGAAAACAACCAAGCGTGAAGTGTATATGTTTCTTGTAATGAGTCATTTATAAAATTTTCATAAAAATGAAAAACGTAAAACAAAAAAATAGGTTGCTCTGGGTTGCTTTTTTCTTCAATTAAATTAGGACAAGCATCATATACAGTTGAGAAAGCAGTGAAAAAAAAAAAATATATATATATATATATATATATATATATATATATATATATACATATATATACATATATATATATATATATATATATATATATATATATATATATATATATATATATATATATATATATATATATATATATATATATATATATATATATATATATATATATATATATATATATATATATATATATATATATATATATATACAAGTTGCATTGCTTGTCTTACTTTTCTTTTTTTTTAGTTTTAAATGTAGTATAGAATATGGTCAAAATTATATTCCAATTTTACAATATTTATAAATATAATTTTAATTATGGGTTTACATTAAATTTACAACAACAAAAAAGATCAAAACTATATGCAGATTCATTTTCCACAAATTACCTGCGTTTTATCTTATTATAAAATGTCAACGCAAAAAAATTGGATAACTATGTATCAAACATCCCTATAGTATAAAGAAAATATGAGAATCAAAGTAGATGTACAACTTTGCCTTGTATCTATCTACAAAAAAAATAAACTATTTTTTTGTTTACCAGTTTACTAATTTCAATGTTATATCTGTTTGGAAACAGATTGATTATTACCAGCAACATATCAAATTACTTGGCTATTTCAACTTAATTATTTGACTAATTAACAACAGAAAACCATTTTAATTGACAATAATCACAAAAAATGTTTGATATATCATAGAAAAAACTAATATATGGCAGGAAATAACTTTTATTTTAAACTTTTGTAATTGTGATGTCTATTGTGCTGCAAGAAAAATTGTTAAAGCAGGAAAGAAAATATCTAAGATTCTTTTAACATTAGTTTTAAGCTTTCATCAGATCATCTAATACTCCCAACAAATTAAATTACTAGGTATAATGTTTTTGATAAGCTGAAGAATTGAAATTATCTAATTCTACCTCTTTCCCATCCCCACACTCACCCTCATCCAATCATGTCATATATTCCAGATGTTTAATTTAACAATTATTTCAACTACATTTTTGATAGCAATGAAGTTGAAAAAACTGTCAAAATGTTAAATGTCTGAAAAGGTGAAAACACATCATACAAATACATCAAACACATACACATAGAATATAAACAACAAGACTTTTTATAAATAAGTTCTGCATTGTTGTTGTTGTTGTTGTTGATTATGATGATGATGATGATGATGATGATGATGATGATGATGATGATGATGATGATGATGATGATGATGATGATGATGATGATGATGATGATGATAATGATGACTAAAAATTAATTATCATACTTGATCCAGTAAAAAGCGTTCAACTTTAAGTGTTTCTCCATATTTATTAAGTATAGTAAGCATTTGTGTTAAGTGATACTCTTCTACTGTTTGCAATTTCTGAAAACATTTGAAAATAACTTTATATATATTTTTATATAAAAAAAAGCTATAAATTAACAAATAACAAGTTAGTCAAAAATTAAAAAATATTTTAATCAATGAAGTATTGACAGAAACACAAATAAACTAATCAAAAACCAAACTGAAGAAAAAGAAATATATAAAACAAAAACAAAAATACAAATTTAAAAAAAGAAAAAAAAAAAACGAAAGCAAGTAAAACAAGTAAACCAAAAACAGTGTTTAATACTTTTTTAGAAATTCAAAGAATTATATAAAACAAAAAAAAAGTTTTTGTTTATTTGATGAAGTTTATGACAGTATCTGTTTTTTTTTTTTATTTTTGCTTGACTTTTTTGTTTAAATTTGTGCTTTATTAAGTTTTGTTTTTTTTTTAGGTGTTCTTACTGTGTTTTAATATTTTATAGTTTTGCTTTTTAATATTTGTTGAATTTTAATATTTGTCTATTAATGTTTGTAATTATAACAACTTGTGTTAATTATAACAACACAAAATTTTGTTGAAATTAATATTTTAATATAAGTTTTAGTTTTTTTGTTTTGTTTTTGTTTTTCTTTTTGTTGCTTCGTATTGTCTATTTCTTTTAATATTTGTTGAATTATAATTGCAAGAAACATTAATTCTATTGATTTTCTTGGATTTTTTAAAAAAAATTGAAATTTTTTTTTAAAAAATTGCTTAAGTTTGATTTCTATTTTTAACTTTTAATTTTCACTCAATCAAATAATTTAAACTACTCATAAAAACATAACGTAGCTTTCTATTTCTTGTGTAGTAAGAATAATAAATTCACAAGAGGTAATCCACTATTATTCAGGGTGGCAGCCCTCTTAGCTCACAGTTGTGAGCAACCTAAGCTCACAGTAGCAAGCAAACTTGTATAATCATTTATGTTCTTCCTAGAACAACAACAAAAAAACATAATGATTTACAGACAAATGTCTGAAAATGAAGTTTTACACACAATAGTTTAAATCACAAAATAGTTCATAAGCTTCCAATTTCCATAAGTGCACACTAGAACTCAACTGATTGTTCAATTTAAAGGCAAAAAAAAAGCTTCATAAGTTTTGAATAAAAATGGAGGATTTTATTTAAAAAAAAAGGTTTAACATCCATGTTTCCACACTTGAGAGGTTTAGACTGTGGCTTGTTTGGACAAGTTTCTCTACACCATTTTCAAGTTAATGGCATTATGGAAGGTTAAAGTTTTTTTTACCTGATACCCTTCTTAGCATATAATAGTTTTCCAGACCAGGATTTTTAAATATTATACTACCATTAGGAAGGTTACCATCCAAGGTTTGCAAGCTCCTCCAACCCTTACCCACAAATAAATTGGGGGTTTTAAACCAGAGTTTTTTTCATCCAGGTAAGTAGCCTTCATCACGGCTAAGGAGCCTAAAATTGGGATTAAAAACTTGAAAACTGGGAAAAAACTTAACAACTTTTGTGGGCAACAACTTGAAGGAAATTATTAATTTCAAGATTATAAATGTGAATCAAAAAAATTGAATATTATTTAAAAATTTTGAAAACTCATCAAAATAATCTAAATAGTTAATCACGATTATTTAGAGTCATTAGCATACTAACAATAAATACATTATAAAATAAAACTTTATTACATAAAATAATAAATATAATTCATGATCAGTAATAGCAATCAATGAAAACATTTTTTTTTTAAAAAAAAACCTAAAGTGAGTGATGGAAATAAGGTGATGAAAAATTTTTTATTTTAAAACCATATGCTACATCAAACCATATGCTATTCCAATAATATCTGACAAAGTTCTAAGATCTTGATAAGACTCACAGTCAATCTTTTGCTTTCAGAAAATTAACATGACTTAATTCCAAAATGAAATCATGTTGATTTTCAAAGACTTGTACCAAAATATTTATAAACAAAGGATTTCTTGACTTTGTAAAGCATTTGATAATGTTTTGCATATTAGGCAAAAAAAGTGCTACAAAAGTTTGGTATAAACAACAATCTTCTAAATTGGCTCAAAGCTTTCTTGACAAACTGCAAAAAATATCTAATATTTAGAGATTCAATTTCAGATTGGATCGAGATAACTAGTGGAGCTCTACAAGGTTCTGTTTTGAAACCTTTGAGAGATGTAATGTAAAAAAATGTAAAGTGTATGTCAACTATGGATCAAAAATATGATTACATTATCATATAATATAGATAAAAATGATAGATAATAAAAAAATAAATAAAATGCTGCTTTCTTGTTTTACCAAGTAAATTGAATCTAACAACAGTAAATGTTAGACTTTAACAGCTATTTTTATTAAAGCATTTTAGTTTGTTTTTAAAATCATTTTAAGAATTCACATTAAAAACATCTTAATCTAGGATATTCCAAGCTTCTACAACATGATTGGTTTTTTTGTCATCTTAATTCCTTATCATTTATTATCGTATTAGTTATTCTTTCAGGTTTGTTGCCAATTTATTGTTTTGTAACCTGAACATTTGAATAAGATCATTTCGTATCCTTCTATCAACCAATGTTGAAAGTTCCATGTTTTAATTCACAAATTTTAGGAGAGATCTTGGAATTCAAACTTCTAAGAATCTCAAATATGCTTAATAATGCAACATAGCAGCAGACAAAGCAAATACATGTTTGGAATTCTCAAACACGCATCAAAAACACAAGACACTGGCATTTAGAAAAAAATTAATATTAAAAAAAAGAATTACATGCTATACAAGCTTGTAACCTTTACCTTGTAGGTGACATAACAAAAAATGAAAAGGTGCAACATTATACACAGATGTCCCTCAAGCTTTAAAAAATAAAGAACACAAAACTCTATGCAAAATGATGAAGCTAACTGCTCTTGACATAAAAGAGACAATTTTATACAACAATATAAGCAACAAACTTAATCAACTGGCATGCGCAGCCTTGCATCATAGCACCCAAAGATGGAACTAGATTTTATCTGAAGATTGTCATGAACTGTGAAGTTCCTGACAATCTTTGAATAAAATTTAAAAACTAAATTTCTTATTTTTATTACTAATTTATGTTATTATTACTTGTTACTGACTGTTTTTTTTATTATATATATTAGCTATATTGTTACACTATATTATATATGTTACTATGTTACTATATAATACTGATGCAGCTGAAAATATTTGATACACAAAGCCAAATTACGAAGAAATTAATAGTAAAGTATTACTGATGCTAAGGACATTAAATATATATCATATATCATAATCCTAAGTAAATTTTGTAAATTTTTAAGGAAAAGGTTGAACTATATATTTAATTTTTATCTTTAAGAATGTTTACATAAAACATTATTTTGACATTAAACCTACTTTTGAGATCTCTAGAGAATGTTTAACTAAAACAATTATGTTGAAACATATTAAACCCACCTGAGATATTGTGCACATCTTTTCATGAAAATCCTTACGAGCATTTTCCCGTTTGTCAACCAATTGTTTGTAGTCTTCACCTAAAATTTTAACCAAATCAGAAAACCAAAAAATCAGCAAACTGCAAAAAATTAATTTTATTTAAAAAAATATATAATTTCAAACAAAAAAACAAAGAAAACAAAAGAGAAATTCAAGTAATATAAAGTATAAACCAATTTATTTGACCCCAACCCTAATGCAAGCAATAATTAACAAGTAGAAAGTAACAAAATGCCAACAACGATGACGTTTAAATTTTATGAGAATTCTGAAAAATTTTGGTTTTAAAAAAACAAGAATTATAACTACTATTTCAGGCTTTTATACAACTTTGAATACTTTTGGATTAAAGTTTAAATTTTAGATATTGTTAAAATTTTTTTAAATTTAAAAAATATTCAGACAATAAAAAATCATTACATCATCTTTATGCTAAAAAAAAAAAAAAATTTAAATTGCTTACAAGACTTTTTAAACTTTACTTCAGCCTGAATAAAAGAAATTTTAATTAAAAATAATTTTCATACACACAAGTAAATACAAGTACACAAAATAATTTGTAGAATATTAAAAAGAAGAATATATTTATATTTGAAGATGTTAAATGAACATTTTAGTATGCAATAACTTTGAATATAAAAACAATTTATTTTTCATAAAAAAATACATTTTAAACATTTTAAAATAAAAAATATTCTTTGATAATCTAAATATTAATAGCCGAATGAATATTATTATTAGTGCGCATAGTTACGCATTGTTACGCCTATTGTTCGTTTTGTTAATTACAGTTCTGCATTATGTAAAATACACTATTTCTTAGTTTTTAAGTTGTTTCTAGACTTTTCTAAGCGCAGTTATATATTCCACGCGGTCTTTCGAGTAAAATCAGCAAGCAAACTGGAGCTGACACACTTATTTTCAAGAAGAATTAATGTTGTTTATTTTTTTAAATAAAAATAATTGTTAGCTTGTTATGTATGTATATATACATATATATATATATATATATATATACATATATATATATACATACATATATATATATATATATATATATATATATATATACATATATATATATATACATATATATATATATATATATATATATATATATATATATATATATATATATATATATATATATATATATATATATATATATATATATATATATATATATATATATATATATATATATATATATTTTCTCTTAGCAAAAATAATTGAGAACAGAAAAATAAAAAAAATTTCTTCTGGAATTTGTCAAAAGGGTGTTGTGTTATGCTTCATTTTAAGGTATCTAAATATGTATTTATTTTTCATTTTTTAGAATAAGTTAGAACTAATTTGACTGGTAAAATAGTTTTTTTAGTACAATGTTTCTTTTTTAAGAAAACTGTTTAAGTTTTGTTGTTAGTCTTTTTAAAACATTTTAAGCAGTTTTTGTTTTATTTTTTTAGAGCAGTTAAGAGGAGCTGATCGCTTTTTTAGTAAGTTCAAGTTGTTTTCTCATACATAAATTAAGATTTTCGATTTATTTCAGTCTATTTTATATTTCTCTAATCTATATATATATTTTCTCCAAGGAAAAATAATAAGGAATAGAAAAATTAAGAAAATTTTTTCTGGAATTTGTCAAAAGAGTGTTGTCCTATGCTTCATTAGGTATCTTAATATGTATTTATTAGAAATTTTTAATTTTGTTCTTAAATAGTTTCTTCTTTTTCATTACTTTAGATTAATATATACTGACTGATATAACTTAATTTTTATTAACAATGTTGGGCATTGTAGTCTGCATTCTTTGTTACACTAAAAAATATTGTTTTATAGTTGTTAAAAGTTTGCATATATGTTTATATTATGCTCAAAGTTAAAAAAGTTTTTGATAAATACGTGTATTTGATGATATATGTTATATAGTTGTTTATATAAATGTGTTTTTATAATAGTATGAAATGTATTTTATCTCATGTGTATATGATTGTTAAATGAGGTGATATATGTTATATAGTTGTTTATTTAAATGTGTTTTTATAATAGTATGAAATGTATTTTATCTAATGTGTATATGATTGTTAAATGAGGTGTTTCTATATGTTATATAACATTAAAAAAAATATATTGTGTATTTTATTGTAATCTTTTTTTAAGTTGCACTTTTAAATTTAAAGCTTCGTGTATAAAATATAGACCTAAATATAATTTGCGCAATTATTATTATCATTATTATTATTATAAGTGCCGTTTCACTTTCATTTTTAAGGTAATTTCTAGACTTTTCTTTACATGGTTATATATTCCACGCGGCCTTTCAAGCAAGGTCTTCAAGCAAATTAGAGCTGATATATTTTTAGTTTCATAAAGAAGTGATGTTGTTCATTGTTTAAAAACTAAAATAAAAATTGAAATAATCTTTTGTTTGTTGTTGGTTGTTTTTATTTTTCTAATTTTTATAACCTGTGTTCATTTTTTAGAAGAAGTTATAACTAAAATGACTGGCAAAATAAGTATTGTTTTATTCTTTAGAGCAGTTAAGAGGAGCTGATGGCTTTTTTATTAAGTTCAATTCATTTTCTTATTTATAGATTAAGATTATTTTTTGTAGAAAGAATAATGAGAATAAAATTTTAATTATGTATCTTAATATAATTTGCGTAGTGAATTTTATTATTATTATTATTAGTGTGCATAGTTACGCCTATTGTTTTATAGTTACGGTGGGGTTCTCAATTTTGTAAAATACACTTTTTAAGTAGTTTCTTGACTTTTCTTAACCGCGTGCTCTCTTAAAGAAGTCGCAACCTTTCATGGTACGAGTTCAAAATGTCTAAGTAGATAATGTTTTGTAGCTTAAATTTATAGGTAATATAAAATCTTTTTAAAATTTTATAAGTAATTAATTGATTGTAATCTCTTTTAAATTGTACTTTTAAATTTAAAGCTTCGTGTTATAGATGTTAATATTGAAAATATAGATATTACTATGGTGTCTACCGTTAAAAGATATTTATGGGTAGTTTCATGCTTTTATATGCTTTTAATAATTGGAATAAAAACCATGACAACATTTTGTTATAAATAAAATTTATCTATAGTATTGTTAATACTTTGGCTCTTTGAAAAAAAATATGTTTCTGGCTTTTCAATAAATATATAATAATTTGTCTTGCATTAATGAATTTTGGTTTAGGATATAATTGTGTTATTATATGTTTGTTTTTCTGTACTTAATATAGCATTTATCATTTGCATACATTTTTATTTAAGTTTAATTGTTTATAATTTATTTAGATTATTAGAAAACTCATGTTTATAGAGTTATTATTTAATCATAATCAAGTTGTTGGAAATTGTAGAGGTTTATTTATCAATATATACTATAAATTATATAATAATATTGGAGGGAGTAAGTTAAAAGCATTTTTAAATTTTTAAAAAGAAATAAAAATACTTTTCAATATATATCTGTTTTCTTTGAGGTAGATTTAAAGTTTAGATCTTAAAGCTGGGCTATGTAATGGAACCCGAATGAAAGTTTGTGCTTCCAAAACAATTATATTGACGCAGAGGTTTTGACAGGTCTTTCTGAAGGTAAACGGGTATTTGTTCTTCGAATTCAGTTAGCTCCATCAGATTCTAATTTACCTTTTGTTCTAAAACGTTTAGAACAAAAGGTAAATTAGAATCTGATGGAGCTAAGTTTGATGGAGTCAGTTTCCTGTCAGATTGGCTCATTCGATGACAATCAATAAAAGTCAAGGTCAAACATTTGATAGAGTTGGGGTATATCTAAAAAAAACGTGTTTCTCCATGGTCAACTATAAATACGACATTTTTTAACTGGTTGCATTATTGCCCTACATTTTTATTAAAATAAAAAATGTTGCATGTGTAATCCTTTTTAATTTGCTCTTTTTTTTTTAGCATCTTCTGTTTCGAATGAAAATGGCGAAGTTATGATAATTTTTTTTAAATATAATTGCAAATGTATAATTTTTATTATATTCTTCTATTTGTAACTTTAGACTCCTTAACATTCGAAAACTACAGAACTTACCGCTCCCAACACCCGAGACCTCTCTCAGAGAGGCCTTTCAACAAATGGAGAGATAATGGCGGAATGGATGAGCCCTCCTTCAAATGGAGGGCTCATCCATACAGGGGTGTTGGGAGACCGAAGAAAAAATAGCAACCAAAAGGTTGTAAATGTCTTCTATCAGTGAAGATATGACTTTTTGGTTGCTGCTTTTTCTTCGGTGTTTTTTTTTGTTTTTTTAATTGTAATTTTTTTTTAATTTTGTATTTTTTTTTTTATTTTAATTTTGTATTTTTTTTTTATAATATAATTTTCTATATAATACTATAGTACGATTGTTTATATCTCATTCATTTTTTTTCTTTATCTTTAAGTGTTAATAATTTTGTTCCTTTGAATGAGATTAGTTAAACGAGTCGGCTTTCCATTAAAGATATTAGTTTCAAAATTGAACACCATTGCCAAAATGCTTACAAAATTAGGTAGTTTTTAAAAATCTGTTTTCTATTTAATATACTTTTTTTTTTAATATACTTTTTTAATATACTTTTACTAATTTACTTTTCTATAACAACCCTACTAATATGGAATCATGTAGCTTTTTAAATATGTTTAATTGTCGTCCCTATTGGTAATAAATATTTTTAATTATTTAATATGGTTGTCTTTACAATAGGCTATGCTTGGCTCCTCAGTGCTGTAAATGGTGGCTTCAACTTTAATTGTTTTTTTAAGAAAAATGGGTTTTATATATGCTTCTGTTTTAAAATATTTTTGTTACATATTTAACTATATATCATGTAAATAAATTTCTTTTAAAGATATGTAAATTTAAGACTTGCTTTTTTACGGATTTTCAAAAAGTGAACAAAGGTTTAAATATTTTTTTTCACTACCTTATATGGTTTTATCAATTTTATCAAAGCTGAATAATTACTTCAAAAATATTGAGTGAAATGCAATTGCTTTTTTTATTAACCTGATCTATACAAAAATTAATGAAATAAAACTAATAATTTTACACAAAGTTAAGGCAAAATGTATTCCGGACACTTTATAAAATTAGTATAAATATGGATTGGATGTATGCTGAAATATATATGTTGAACAGGTTAGCTATAAAGTATATCGATATATTACTTTATCGTTTTTTATAAACAAGTTTCTGCTGGATTATTACTTAAAAGAAGATTGGTTTAGTAATAAGCTTTATCATATAATAATATAGGATCCAAATGCAGGGATAAGCCCTTTTCGGAATTGCGGATATATATTTCAACTTTTTTTCGGTTTTTCCGGATATCCAATTTCTATGCCTACAAGTTTGGGTGTCATATTTTAGGTGTTTTAAAAATATTTAAAAAGTATATTAAAAATATTGAAAAGTTTAGGTGCAATATTAGTGATATTTTTAAGCTCTTCACTCAGTAAAATGAAAACTTTGAAGAAAAAAGAAACGACTCCGCTTAAAGCAAAATTAAGAGTAAAATATGTTTCGAATATTTACCTAAACAATTTTACGGAATCAGGAAATTTGACATCGATGATCTATGCATATAATTCAAGTCATATATTAACTTTACATGGTTGTGATTTGCGCATTAAATGTGTGAACATTGCAAAAGAAATGGTTAACTTTAATGAAGCTAAGAGTTCTCTTAAACTAAGAAGCCAAGAAAAATAAAAGTGAGCACAACAAAAAAAAATGTATAAATGAATTGATATTTCATTAGAGAAAATAAATAAAAATCAAATTGTTAGTAATGATTTATTTAATACTAACCCGTATTACGGGTTGCTTACTGCTAGTTTAAATGAATATTTTGATAAATAAAATTCATCAGAAGTAATTTGTTACTCCTGATGAATTGAAAAGTTTCATTCAGTTCTAAACTATAAATGTGGTTTAAAATAATTTTATGATGAGTTTTACTTAAGTATTTTAGTAATTTTTTTTTTGTTTTTAATTTCTGACAAGTTAATTGTTACTACAGTAAAACCTCTCAAATTGCAATCTCCTTAATTCAAAAACATCCATAATATGATCAAATGCCACTGTAAAAAGTCAACTTATATAATTTAAAATCTCTTCAATTCAAACTTTCATTTTCCCTCATAAAATTTGAATTAGAGAGATTGAATTAGAGAGATGTTTATTTAGCTGAGTTTTTTTATGCAAATTTTTGAAACGCTTAATATGTGAAAACATACAAATTTATTTTAGTAATAATAAAAATTAATAAAATGGCTTATTTAAAAATCTAAAAGAAAAATATTGTACCAAATTATCTGTGACAATAGAATATCTAGTTTGAATTTTCTTTTAAAAAAAACCTTTTGTAGTATATATGACTTTTTAAAAATTTTTTTTTAAAAAGTCATATATATGACTTTTTAAAAGTCATATATATGACTTTTTAAAAGTCATATATGACTTTTTAAAAGTCATATATGACTTTTTAAAAGTCATATATATGACTTTTTAAAATTTTTTTTTAAAAAAGTCATATATAATTTAGGTTGTGAATCTATTCATTAGATATTTTCATCATAACTTTATATTGTAGTAGTAGTTTGCAGCTTTTATAAATGGTTTTTATAAATCTAATTATTTGTATTTTTTCACAAATAATATTTCACACTCGCTACTAAACTAGCTCTAGAGTCCCAAGGGTTCACTTGTACTAAGTTAGCAGGTGTTCGCAAGTAATTTCAACTGACATTTAATTGAAAATTAATTTTTTTTATGACATCTCACATCTATCTTTTTGAGATAATTAAGTGATCAACTTTTGGACAAGATGCTTTTTATTTGTAGTAAAAAAAAAAGGCCATTTTTCAATACAAATTTCATTAGTAATATTTTTTTTTTAATAGAACATTAAATAAAAAGAACTTTTAATATACTTAAAAATGATATATCAACAGATAAGTAACAAAATAATAACGACTTTTAAGCATTGTAGTCTGGAACATATTCCCAAGCAATGCATAAATACAAGTAATAATATAAATTCTATAATTTATTAATCAATAGATTTTTTATTAAGATGATCAAGTGATCATTCTAAAAGTTTGTCTACTTACTATTAAACATAATATTAAACACTTGCTTTTTTTATTTAAAGTGTTGCTCATATATGCGAAAAGACAAACATAACATTTTTTAAACATATTTCTAAATAAAAACTTACACTTTTGATATCCTTAAGACTGACTTTTAGATTTATAAAATCTTTCCGACAATTTTCTACATCTTGTGAACGCTGTTCATAGAGTTCTTTGGCCTGTATTTTTATTAAAAAAATATGTTACATAGGTTACTTAGAGGTAAGCTAAAAGTTTATACAATACATACAATACAATATAATTACCACCAACAAAATAATTTTATTTATAAAAAATTAATAAAAATTTAACATTTAATTGAATTCAAATTTAAACACATTTTAAACTTGTATTAAATTTAAGAAAGAATTTTTTAAACACTTTTTAAAAAAATGTTTTTGATATAAAATTTGTTTAGCAGTAAAGTTTACATAACTTTTTATAAATATTAATTGTAAATATTTTATAAATATTAATTGTAAATTTCTAAATTTGTAATTTGTAAAATTGTAATTTATTGAAACATACAAAAAAAATTATCATTACATAAATATACATATCAATACAAAAAAAAAATATCCTTTAAAATAACATCAGTATAAAAATATAAAAACAGTTTTTTTCAAAGATATAGGAAAAAGTAAATTTTAAGAAGGCTTTTATCAACAAATTTATTTTCTGTACTTATATTGCTATACTAGGTAAATTAACATCATTATTCAAATTAATCAGCCAATTAACTTTTAATGCTCTGCAGTCATATTCACTTCTATCTATTAAACTTATAGAGAATTTGAGTGTTTGTTAAAAAAAACTCTCTTAAATGGTTAGTTTTAAAATGTAGGGAAATAATTGGTATTCAAATCCTGCTGTTAAGGTTTTATATATTAACCGGTCCAATAATTTTTTTTATTTGTTATAATTTTAGCCAGCTCTGTTATCTAGTTTTCAAGCTGTTTTTCTCATCGCATCTAAGCATTGCGATGCCAACAGATGATGATATTGTTTAATTGGTAAATCATAGTGATTTTTTCTCATCGCATCTAACCATTGCGATGCCAACAGAGGATGATATTTTTTAATTGGTAAATCATAGTGATTTTTTAAATGAGCTGAGTAATTTAATTAAAACATGTCAGAATACAAAGAGTTTGTATCTACTTAACATTTAGTTTCATTTTTTTTTAATTTTATATTTATGCCTCTTCACTCTTATGGATTACACATTTTCTCATAACTTTATTTTCTTTGATTTTTGCAAACGGATCAAAATATTAAAACTGAGTAATTTTATAGTGACACATTTCAAGAAATTCGCAATCTTCTTTTTGCACCACAGTGGGGTTTTATTCTCATAGTGTTTTAACTCTAAACTGTGTATCTTGTACTGTTTTCTTACTGTTCAAGAAATTGACAACTAATTACTCAAAAAATATTTTACTTTTAAAATGAACTTTTCTTAGGCTAAAATTAAACTTTAGTAGGAAAAAATGTTATTTAGCTTTTTAATTATAATATTCTCTAAAAACCAAAAACAAATTAGCAATATTTCAAAAACATCTAAAAACAACTCATAAATAATACTTAATATAAAGTGCTACACACAAAAAAATATGGATATTTTTGCAAAAAATTTTTCCCAAATTCTTTTAATTATGCTTGGCACGGTTTTAACAGAGAAAGTTTCATGTAACCTCTACAGGGCTTGGTTTTAGAGCATATAGAAAGCTTTATGGCACAGCCAATCCATGTTTTGTTGCTACAGTCCGGTAATATAGGACTATGTACATATCATACAGTGATATGATACAATTATACAGTGTATGATTATGTAATTCAAAAACATGGGTTGGAAAGGCAAAAACAAATTCAAAATATCAAAATTGTTTCTTTTAAGTAGTACTTGATATATTTAACCAAAAATTTATCTTTTTAAGATCTTTTTTTTTGTAAAATAATTATTAAATTAGGGTAGGCAAAAATGCACAGAAAAAATTCAATGTTTCATAAGAAAGATTTCAATTTTTTAGTCATTATTATCTAAGAGTTTCTAAAATTGACAAAAGTTGAGATGAATTATGGACCTTATATGACCATGCATATAATACTTTGTTTTGACAACATGGCCACATCTCTTTGCAAGTTTTGATAATTAGCACTTTTAAAAAAGACACTAAAAAAACAAAGCAAACTTAAATTTAAATAATCAATCCAGATATATGTATTTAACATACATACATTTGACATACATATATGCTCATAACAGTGTGTGCATTAAAACCAAATCCAAATATATTTTTTTCAAACAAGGCTGCTGCATGGAAAAACAAGTTGAGTGTGGTACTACCAGGGACATGGTGGCAATTGCACTTGGAACCTCTTTGACTACATTGTTTTGGAATATTTTAGATAAAATTCAACCTTAAGATCCAACTTTGCATTACCACTTGTTACAAAAAAGATGCTTAATAATAAAAAAATTTAATAATAAACTCCTATTCTGTTTCATATTCTATAATAATCATCTAAATAATAAATTTCATGATAAAAATACTATAGTCCTTCTATTATGAAGTGTGGTCCTTCTATTATGAAGTGTCACCATTCAAATAAATTTTCATTAGTAACCATAGGACGCAACAAATTGTTTTTTTTTAATGAACATTGACGTTCATATCTTTATTTATTTATTTACTAATTTAAGAGATATATGTCAAATAAGGGAGTTTTATTTTCGAATAACTTTTATTCTAGTTAATAAGTTATTATATATATCAAAGATGCTTACTGAATTTAATCAATTAATTATTTAAAACAACTTTTCACACATTTCCAAAGTGCTCACAAATTAATGATAATTAATATGCAATGATCTAATGATTGTAAGCAGTGTTTGCTGCTTATATGACCACGCAAAAAAGTAATTTGTTCTGACAATTTTACCACAGCTTTTGACATATTTTCAAAATTTAAAAATGCACTACAAAAACTTATTTAAACTTATCTAAAAAAAAACTTCAAAAAATCTTGACAGAAGAGAAAATAAATAAAAAATTAGTTAAAGCAAAATTACACACACAGTTGGATTATATATATATATATATATATATATATATGTATATATATATATATATATATATATATATATATATCCTATTTAAAATTCATTTTTATTTTGTTTTTATTTTATTGTAATGATTGATTTTTTCGCTTGGAAAATACTAATACTTTAAGCTTGAAGCAATGATCATAATATAATTTAATTTTGATAAAAAATACATGATCTAATTAAAAACTAATTTAATAAAATGACATACTTTTGTTCTGATAAAAAAAATACATATAACTTAATTTAGATTTAAAAAATATATAATTTAACTTGGATTTAAAAAATATATACAAATTTATTAAAATTAAAGTTAATGCTTGGGTTTAACTCATCTGTTAAATTTATTTTAAAATATTACTAAATATTGTTTAATATTTAAATTTTATTTATTCTTAAAAAAAAGTTAGCTACTTTTTATCGCAATTGTTTTTTTGGTTTTCCTTCCTAAACATTTTTTTATTACTCAAAATTAAATTTTAAATAAACGGCTATATCAAAAACTAAAGTACCAAACATAAGTTAAACTTTTTTTTTATAACTCAAGATAAATTGCAGCAATTATTTTTTAATAAATGATATATACAGTGATATAATTTTAATAAATGATGTTCGGAAAAATAATCTTTGCTTTCACAACGAAATTGTTAGTCAAATAATAAACTTATAATAAAGTAAATAAATTAACGTAATTTTTTTATTTGTTACTCTATTTTTTTTAATAAAAAATTATTTGTAGTTGCAAAGCTGCAATTATAAATTTAAGAAATAATCAAAAAATTAAAAAATTTAACATATTTTAATTCATTTATGGAAACAGAGAAAAGAAAGAAATTTGTAAATATCAAACATTTTTAAAAAAGTGATATTAAATTTATTTATTTAATATATTTTTTTAATATATATTTATTTATTTGTATATTTTAGGCATGGTTTTGGCATTTGAAAACCATTAACCAGTTACTGAGGTTTATATCTTCGGCTATTCATGCCTTATTTAATAGTTAAAACAAACAAAATATGCAAACCTTTAATAAAGCTGAGCTAAGATTTTGAAGATTAGCAACAGCATCAGATGTGGATGTAAAGTCCTCTTTCATCTAAAATAAAAAGTAAAGTTTAATTCACAAAAGTTTACAAGAAGTGGTTGAATTACTGTTATGATTTATATGATGGAAACATAATTTAAAATTATGTGGAAGAACTTTTCTACATGATAGAAACATAATTTAAAATGGCGGAAGTATTTTTAATAATACTGATTATAATGAAATTTTTAAATGTTACAAAATTCAATTATAAAGACAAGATACAATAGATACCTGCTTTTGCTTTTCTTTCTGCTGTTCACTATAATCTTTTAATGACTTACTAACTTCATTTAAATTTTGTATAATTTGACTATGAACATTTGCTAGTTTCTCTGTAGAGCTTTGAAGAAATTTCCAGCAAGGTTCGAATGTACTAATAAACAAAAAAAAATTATACAATTATGAAAATGGCATATAGCATATTTTTTAACATTTTATATATACAGAACTAAATTAGAGATGTGCCAGGTACCCAGCTTAGTCAAGTTTCCCTGGATCCAAACCAAAATAGTACCTAGCACATCCATATATTCTAAGTACCCGGAATACCAGTACCTAGTACATCCATATATTCTAAGTACCCGGAAAAACCCGCAGAATAATATTAAATAAACTTTTATCTTTACCTTTTTTATTCTTTTAATTGAAACATTTATATTTGGTTCAATTGAAGACTTAAACCAAAATTTAAAATTAGAAAGATTGACCATGTCACACAAAAAAAAAAAAAATGTAAAAGTAAAAAAAAAAAATCAAAACAAAAATATTTTTGTTTTGATTTTTTTTGAAACAAAAATTATTTGGAAAAATATTTAAGCTTTTAAATTGCATGTGATAAAATTCTAAAATTTTTTAAACTAATAAATGGTTTTGCATATAATAATCCAGAAATTAAATTTATAATGCATATGACGTTCAGGCTATTAAATATGAAGTTCAGGCTATTAAATATGAAATTCAGGCTATTAAATATGAAGCTCAGGCTATTAAATAGGAAGTTCATGCTATTAAATATGAGGTTCAGGCTATTAAATATGAAATTCAGGCTATTAAATATGAAGCTCAGGCTATTAAATAGGAAAATCAGGCTATTAAATATGAGGTTCAGGCTATTGAATATGAAGTTCCATCTATTAAATAAGAACTGTTTACCAGGTGGGTTATTAAATGATTACTGTATATAATAACATTCAATGAAAATATGGTTACTTACCCAACATGTGAATTTGCAGCAGAACATTTAAGTGCAAGTTTCGTTAAACTTTTTGAATATGTTTCTTCTATGTTACACCTATAAAACATAGTAAAATTATATAATTTTTATGTTATACCTATGATAAGTATCAAAATTACATACCTTCATAAAACAAAATCAAAAATATTATATAGCTGTACAAAAAATTAGATTATTAAATACTTATAAAATATTCTCATAATGTTTTGATGTTGTTGTCAAGTAAATAAAACTACTAGCACATTTGGTGTTAAAATTAGTAATCACTACTAGCACAATCACATTACTAGCCATTTATGCATTAAAAGAAATGATCAAAAAGAACTACATTTTATTTTTTTTTCTAACAAAAACATTTTCATATTTTTAAAAAGATTGTGAAAAAAGCATAAAGAGTGTTTTACTGTTTTGAAAAAGAGGAGTTTTTTATTTACTTATTGTTTTTAATACATGTTTTTAACATAAATAATTAATATAGGAGTTCTTATTTTTACCTAGAGTCCAGATTCCCGAAAAATTCCAGATTCATAAAAATTGTTCAAAGTTCAGGATTCCAGGATTTTTTTAAATTTATATCAGCATATGAACATTTCCTAACAAACATTTTCCTAGTCTTATTAACTTCTATAATTTAATGTTCAGCTAACAAAAATTGTAATTATATAAACACTTTTAATGTGGAGTCTTTAGTTGTTGTAAAAATTCTTAAACTTGCATTAAAAAACTACATAAAAATATATTTAGAGTTATTTATATATTACAAAACAAAAAAGTTGTTAGCTGAACCTAAATAGCATAGCTTATGTTACTCTTTGCGTATACGAAATGCACTACGCCCTTATCACAGATAAATAGATTTTATAGAACTATTATGTTGATTATATTTTCATTTTTTACTGTGCGTTTAACAACAACCAATAATATAATATTTTTTATTAAATACTTAATATTATAAATATAATAATAGCATATCAGGTATTTGATAGTAACTTATTAAATTATAAATTTAATAACTTATTAAATGCTTAATACTATATTATTATTTTTAAATATTTAAAAAATAAAAATGTCAAAATAACTTTTATTTTATTTTTATATAGTTCCCTTTTATTTAAATTTTATCAAGTTTATATCTTTTTTTTATAATTTAACAAACTAAATTGAGAAAAATTCACTATTTTCACAGTTTACAGTGAAAAGTTTATTGCATATTAGTTATCATTAATTTGTGCACACTTTGCAAATGCGTGAAAAATTGTTTTAAATTAATAAAAACTGATAAAATTCGATAAGTATCTTTGATGTATCTAATTATTATATATCTTATTAACTAGAATAAAATTAATTTGAAAATAAAACTTATAATTAAATTAAAAAAATTATTTAAATTAAAAAAAAAAAAATTAAAGGAGTTAAAATAAAACTGGCTTATTCTGGCCGACACACGGATTTGAAGTAGAGGTGCGCAACTATCTATTAATGAAAAAAGTCCTCTATCTTGAAAAAGTCCTCTATATCTTGAATTTCTCTTAAATAAAAAATATATAAAAATTTTTTTAAAAAAGTGTATGTGTGGAGAGGGGGGGGGGGGGGTTGGATATTTGACATACCTCTTAAATTAGACGTTCGTCAATAAATAAAGAAACGAACGTCAACGTTTATTAGAAAAAAAAGATTTTTCGCGCCCTGATGTATATATTATATATATATACATATATATAATATATCTATATGTATATATTATATATATATATATATATATATATATATATATATATATATATATATATATATATATATATATATATATATATATATATATATATATATATATATATATATATATATATATATATATATATATATATATATATATATATATATATCAGTGCCAACTGAACTTAAACTTTTTTTGAAAATATCAAAAAGTTAAAAATGTTTAATTAGTAGTATTTAGCAACCATAGTCATTTAAACTCAAGTTTAAATTTATTTAAATCCATTTGAGTTTTCAAATACTTTGGCCAGAATTTCAACAAGCGGTATTTTAAAGCAGTAAGTTAAAAACTTGTTACCCACTACTATTCGAAAGTAGTGACTCCTGGCCTTTGGAAGATAAAAAAGATAAATAAATAAAAACATACTTAAAAATTAAAATTTTTACGCAGTCATTTTTTATTCCATAATTTATAATTATTAAAAGAATTATCAACTTTTATTTCAGATTATATAAGTTGTCTTAATAACTTATCTCAATCAAAGCATCCTGAAAATAGTGTATAAATAAAATATTCAGTCTTAAAAACAACATCTACCTCTCTTTGAGAAACTCTGCAAACTCTTTGCTTGATCCAAAACCAAGTTTAAAGTTTTCTTGAAGGATGTTAAAACCATCAAACTTTTCACCCTATATTGCAAACTACTTAATATATTTGAAAAAACAAACTTTTTTAAAACAATCATATAACAATAAATAAAGTGTTAAATTGATATTTAACAAATAAATTGAATTTAAAAGCTTTAGATAAGCATATTTAAGAAAGTTGTATAATTAAATATACTTAATATAAATAATAAATAATTTTAATAATAAATAAATAACTTAAATCTCATAAATAGTAAATAAAATAAATAGTAATATAATAAATAATATATCTAACATTTTTTTTTTTTTTTTTAATTTTTAATTATCTTTGCAACCAACAAGGCTGCAAGCAACCACTAATTAGTGCTGGAAGTTACTGGAAGAGAAAAGATGAAGATTGTAGAGCAAGATAACAATTGACAGACGACTTAAAAGATTGCAAATTATATGAATCAGGAAAGCATGATGAAGGAAGCGAATTCTAAAGAACTGATGTTCGAGGAAAAAAACTAGACGAATAAGAGTTTTTGGAGCACTTAGGAACAGTAACAGAAAAAGGATGAGACTTAATTGAATGACGAGTAACACGAGAATGAATTTAAGTAGATGGCACAAGAGACGATAGCTCTTTAGAGCAGTGCCCATTATAGTATTTGTAGAAAAGAGAAAGAGAAGCAACATTACGACGATGTGACAGAGGTTGAAGGTTGGCTGCAAGAGCAGGTCCAACTTATATTAAAATGCAAATACATAGACAATTCAATTAACAAATAACAAGAAAAATTATACTATTTTATTTAAATATATATAAATATATATATATATATATATATATATATATATATTATATATATATATATATATATATATATATATATATATATATATATATACATATACATCTATACATATATATCTATATATATACATCAGCCTTGATTGAAAAGCAGGTGTGATCCCACTCTATATCTGACCACACATATAATATTTAGTTGTGACAACTTGGCCATGGCTTTTTCGATGTTTTGAAAATATTTCAAAAATGCACCAAAAAAAACTTAACTTGACTGACAGGAGACAACTACTAAAAAATGAAATGAATTCTTAACAAAAAAATTAACTTAATTAACATAATATAAATTATGTTTAGAATTGATAATTTCAAAACTTCTTTTTTTTATAACTTTATAATAAAATTAAGCGACACTCTTTTAAACAACTTACTATTAATGATCTTTTAATAAGGAAACAAACTTTCTTCAATTTATTAAAGAGTATAATTCTTTATTTATTTATTTACATTTTATTTCAACAAGTTTCTTATAAAACTAGTGCTAGTTAAATTTATATAATAAATAAAAAAGTAAATATTTTTTTATAACAATTTCATGCTTTACGAAGTTTACATAGTTTAAAATATTTTAAACAATGCTTCTCAAATAAGATAAACAAAAGAAGTAATTAAACCATTGAGTTACTGTAGAAATATTATAACGACCTTTTTTTTAGCAGTTTAAAATGTTTTAAAAAAGTCCAAAAAAGACTGGGGTTGATATTTGACCAGGGCCAGTTTTGATAAAATATAGCTGGGACCCGGATTGTTATAAACAATCAATAAAAGCAAATCGCCATTTTGTTTAAAAGCATTTTGCTATTACAAAATCATTTTATTACGAAAAATAAATGTTACAAAGTTAATTTTTTTAGCATGTTGTAGCATTTTTTTTTTATTCTAATTGTTTTCCAAAAAAAAGTGAAACAAAAATTTTGTTTAATAAATCGAATTATATTAAGTATAAGAATATGCTTTAATTATTTTTTTAGAAAAATGTTTTTTTGAACAGAAGTAAAATAATTTATTACATTTAATTTAAATTTTTTATAATTTTTATTTTAACTTGCAATTTGCAATCACTGTTTTGATGTTTGCAATAGAATTTTTCTACTTTTAAAACTATTTTCAAGAAAAAAATATATAATTCAAAACGTTAACAAAATTTACGATTTACGAAAAAAAAACTTTCATCTTCATTCTCCCTTGTTTCGTCAAACTTTTTTTAAATTTAAAATTTTTTCTTCAATTTCAAATTTCAATCACAAAATTATTTGAATAAGTGAATTTTAAGGCTAAAGTTCTCTTGTTCATATAGATTTCTTTTTAAATAAAATTCCTGAAAACAACTTGCGTATTTATAGAAAATGTTTAGTCTAGATGATAAATAAAATGAAAATATAAAAAAATGGTGTCACGTTTTTCATATTCTATTCGACAATTTTTGTTAAAATAATTATTAGTTAAAAGCGTATATTATGTGTTAACAACATTAAGATCTAAATTGAAACATGTCTATGCAGTGCCGGATCAACGGATGGGGGGACTATAGCCCGGGCCCAAAAATTTTAGAGGACCTTTTTTTTTTAGTCATTTTTAGGCTCTGGCCTATAAAAAGACCTCCAAAAACAAAAATAGCCCAGGGCCCCAAGAAGTCTTATGGCTAACTTTTGCAAGTATATTAAATAAATTAATATAATTGTTAAATTAATACTTGAGTAACTGTAAGTTACTGTCTTAACTGTTACTGTCTTAACTGTTACTAACTTAACTGGTTGTTTTGATTTAGGTTATAAGTTAATTTACTGTGATATACTCTATCCATTCAGTAAAGTTAACTAAATATAACTTGAATAGTTTCAAGGTTGTTAAAGTGAAAAACGTGAAAGCAAAAAAGTTACTGGTTTCTATTAGTACAATTTTACTAATAGAAATTTTATTTAATAAAAACGAATTAATATATATATTATTATACTTAAAGTAGTAAAAATAATTATACAAAATTGTTTATAAAATAATAATTTAATTCATTATTAATAAGTTAATTTGGAGCAACGTTTTTTTTTAAAATAGATAAAAATGCTGTTTTGTTAAAAAAAATAGAATGAAGAAAAAATTCTTTTTAACTTTTGTCTTTTTTATTTGCTTCTACCCAGAGATTTAAAGTAATTTAAATTAAAAAGTGCATTACGTTGAATAAAAATTTCCGCGCGATAGAGTAAATGATCATGCTTCTATTCAAAAGACAAACTTCGTGTGACGTATTTTACTATGAAAATATTACTTTTAAGAACTGCCAAAAAAAAAAAGCTAAATTGTAAAAATAGTAAATAAACATCTAAAAAAGTAAACCAATCGCGATAAGCTTAATTCGAGCCCTGTATATATTCGTCGAACAAATAAACGGCAACGAATATATATTGGTTTACTTTTATTTGCTAAACGAATTATTATTTGTTCAATGAACATTATTTTTTATAGAATATTATTTGTTGAGCGAATTTTATTTGTTAAACGAATATTATTTTCAAAGGAATATAAAATAAACATAATTTGTATTTTGCAAATATATTAATTATTAAAAATTATATAAAATTATTAAAAAATAAATTTTATTTTTTAATAATTTTTAACTTTAAATAAACATTTCAATACTGCGAGTTAGACTCTTTAAAGGAATTTCGGAGTTATGTTATACCAACAACCTGCAGGTCACGATTCATTTACGAAGCCGTCACCGACATATGCTGCTGGCGTACAAGTTTAATATAAAAGTACAAGTGGTAAAAAAATGGAATATAAAAAGAAGGAGGTACAACCATTCGTGTCTATTAAAAATTTAAAAGACATTTCATCATTTCAGGGCCAACGACACGGGTTTCAAAGTGAGGGGCATACTTTTTTATTTCTAAAAAAATTATCAATTTTTTGAGTCAATTTCTAAAAAAAAAAAAGGTCCTGAAAAATGAAAGTACATGGATTAGTGCCCCCCTGGCCTCTCTGGTGTCGTTGGTCCTGCATTTAAGATATAAAAGATTCTTTTATATCTATGCAAATGTGAATGAAGATTATATTTTAAAAAGATAAACTTCTTTTTATATAAATTTTAAGTGAAAATCTTTTATGACTTAAAAACATAACTTTTTATGGCAAAGTTTTATGGTTAAAAAAAAACACGTCATTTTAATTTTCATATTTCTTTAATTTAAACATTACGAGGGCTGTTATGCCCTCACTTCCCCTAAGCAAAATGAAGGAAACTGTTTTACCAATGCATGCTGTTTTTTTTTTGCCATATTAGATAACATTTTTCAAAGGGAAATGTTGAAAAACGGTTGTGCCTCCATATGCGGTTATGCCCCCACTTCCCCTAATTGTTAAATTATTTATTGTTATTTATCTTTAAACTACGAAATTAACCACAATTTGTTGTAATTATCACAATTTATTGCTGTCACTTTACTTTATAAAACAGGTAAGGAAACATTATTTATAAGCTTGTTTCTAATTAATAAGTAATGTTTTTCTGCTTATTATATATTATATCAACGAAATATTTAAATTAAATTAATCTTCAGCAAAATAACTTTACAGGTAAATTTTTACGCAATTTATTCATTTTAATAAATCAAATTTAGTTGTGTAAAACCGTGCAACTCCAAACAAAAATATCATTTCAGGTTTTTAAATGGTTTCACTTTTTGCAATAATAATAATAAGGCTTTTTTTAATTAAGTAATTTTTTTGTAATATACCCAATATTTTTTAGCGGAATTTTATGTGTCCATACCGTACTTTATGCTGATTTTTATGTGTAGATACCTTTTTTTTAGCTTAGTCTTATTTGTTCATACTTATTTTTAAATAAGTTTTATGTGTTAATTCATCTTTTTAAATTGAGTTTTATGTATACATACCCTTTTTTTAATCCAGTTCAACAAAAAATATAATTTAAAGAATATATTATCTTAAATAGCACCAAGTTTTAGCACAAAATTAGAGAAGATTATTTTACGATTCATAATAATTGTACAATGTCAATAGTGAGTGGAGCTAAAGGATGGCAATATTTTTGTAAAGAAAAATTAATGGGCAAAGAATTTTCTCTTTGGAAAACTGCTTTAAATTAAATAAAAAAACTGGGTATACTTATAGGAAAAATTTGTTTTTGTTTAGGTAATATTTCAATAAATAATTAAGATTAGTGTGC